ATGGTCAAAGCACCAGCGCTGCTGAAGCAGGACAAGTCAAGTCGTGAAATTTTATCACCAATCCAAAAAGGAAGTGGAGCTATATCCCCCCCCCCCCCCCCCCCCCCCTGCGCCTTGTATGGGATAAACCCATGATTTATTCAAAACATACTCAGTGCCTCAACTGGATGCTGATCATCCCATCTGCACCCAGTGTAATTCTTCACATCCCATCATTCATGGGATGAAACGAAAAACGCATGGATTGCAGCTGAGATTCTTCGCAGTAACTCACCTTGCCTGCTAAGGGCCTACAGTAGTTGCACCCCTCACCATCCACCAGCATTTTGAATCAACCAGGACACATTTCATGTGCAGATTCAGTGCAAGATGGTATCCTACCATCCAAAAAACCACCACTACTTTTTCCCATGTGGGCTGCTGTTGGGCCTCCTAATCTTTAGGAGGCCGAAACGAAACAGCGGCCGCCGATGAGGTTTATCAACGGCGGCTGTCGTCGGGCCCGGCCTCCAATTTTTTAGTAGAATATTTTCCCGTTTTCCCAACAGCGGGAAAGGTCATGGCGGTTCAAGATTGGAACGATACAGCGAAGATTACCCCCATCATGGCCCCTGCGCAAGGATGACGGGCATAAATTGACAAATGGTCCAATTTAAGGGGCAAAAAGAAAAAAGTCATGATATGGTGAGTGGTGTAACCAATCCCTTCTTGGTGCTCTCTCTCAACCGTCGCTAGATATCACGCCTGCTACAACTCTTTTTTTTTTTTTTTTTTTTTTTTTTTAAGCTCCGTTCTACCTCTGTCCAGTGTCCACCACAGTTAACCACGAGCTACAACACGATTCCACCTCTATCCGGTGTCCACCGCACTTAACCGCGAGCTACAGCTCAATTCCACCTCTGTCCGGTGTCCACCGCAGTTAACCACGAGTCGCAATCAAGGGACCTTGCAATGCAATATACTGCTCGCCACTGCGGCCTTGATTGAGCACTCACACACTGCTCCCCTCCTCATGACATAGTTTAAACCACCAGTACCGAGCGGTTGGGGAGGCCGTTAAACGATCAGTACATCCAAAAAAGCAGATTGAGCCTCTCCTAAAAAATAGGACGCCATGAACCGCCGATTCATTTTGTCAATGCTCCATGGCCTCTGAAATTTTAGGAGAGGCTCCATCTGCTTTTTTGGATGTACTGGTGGTCTAACGAGGAAGCCGAATAGGCCTGCCCCTCCAGTCCAATTTCATTTGCGGCGGGGGGTTACGAAAAATGCAATAGGCACTACCATACCCGTCATTTAAACCACCAGTCCCTTTCCCAGCTATCTATGCCGACCCTAAAATCGGCCTGCGCGCCCAGAAAAAGACAAACTGGCGCAGGCCTCCTTTGGCTGGCGACGCCAGCGCCAGCCATTTTCGTTTGGTACCCTGACCCCCGAAAGTTGCGGCCGTTAAGGCACGCCCCACATCTTTGTTTTCCAAGCGGGGAAAGCTACTCGTGATTTACGTGTAGAGGGCCCAAATTCTTTGCGTGCTCAGAAGCAGCCAGGACTTCTCTTATCGCGTTTCGCAAATGGACACGCACCAACCTACCAGGTGGTCACATGATCATCAAGGTCATCGGATTTTTTTTCAGCGTATACCAACACTCTAGTACCAACCCTACCGTCTTCACCCGAATAGAACGCCAAGTAATTATGGCCGTATCTGGACTGAAAGTTGCATCAAATACAGCTATAATGACCAGGCGTTCTATTTGGGTGAAGACAGTAGTTCATGTATGTCAAGCAGATGAAGGGTTCTCAGATCGGAGTCTCCAAAACAAAAAAAAGAAAAAGCGATGAGAGTAGCAATCAACAAGGATATTTATCACAACATACTCACAGTGCACAATATTTTTGAAGCTGAAGTAGCAGCTGCGCACGCAAGGTTTAACATTTTTAATTGTTAAATTTGCAAAAAAAATAAAATAAAAATAAACCAACTGTTTTCTCCTCGTCCGGGGACAGCTATATATTGTTTGTTTTCATCCGGGGACAGCTATATATATATATATATATATATATATATATATTCTACGGTTTACCGGGCAGTTCTATTTGACGATATATATATATATATATATATATATATATATATATATATATATATATGGTCAATTCAATTCTGTTTAGCCCTTCAAAGGTTAAACCATCAACTCTGAACCCCCAGCGCAGACCAGCGAACAGACCCCTCCGAGTCGGGACGCTCCGGGCGACCCGAATGACCGCTACACGAAAAGTAGACCCTCAGTCAGCATGGTTTCCATTCCTGTCTGTAAGCAGAATGTGGATATACTTGAAAACTTCAGCAGGGCTAATTCCAGACTGCCCTTCATTTCAGTTTCGCGCCGCAGGTAGAGTACTGTTTAAACTCACAACAAAGTGATACACGGCTGCCCCCTCCCCGAAAGTATTTGGATTTAACCCACCAAGTAGGTCCAGCACACCCTGGCCTGCAGGTGCCTTACAGCGCACCAAGCTTTTCCAAACTGCCAACGACACTCTTCTTTTCTTTTCTCTTCTCTTCTCTGGCTGGCACAACCAGCCATTCTGGTCCTCTTTTTTTTTTTTTTTTAGCCTCCCAAATCTTCGTAGGCGACGAGGTTGGGGCCGTATACCGGCAGGTTACATACGCATCTGTCGATCCCGTTCTTTTTTGGGTGGCGCAACCAGCCATTGTGGGTCTGGTAGGCCGAGCCTCCGAAATTTTCGTAGGCGACGAGGCTGGGGCCGTGTACTGTCGATTCCGTTCTCTTGTCGTTTGTTCCCTTCAGGATCTCTCAGGGTGAAGGTTCGCACAGTGGTGAGATGGCCACGTCCAGTCCCGCATAGAAAAAGTGTATACCTACCAAGTACGTACCCACTGCCACCTGGGCATGATTGCCGTAAGATTCATCCTACCTGGACATGATTGTGATAACGTCCGGATAAGATTCATCCTACCTGGACATGATTGCAATAGGTTCCGGACAAGATTCATCCTACCTGGACATGATTGCGATGAGATCCGGACAAGATTCATCCTACCTGGACATGATTGCAATACGATCCATCCAGGTCCGGATGCTGAACTTTTTGTCTCTTGCAATGTATGATCACTTCCCTGCCTGACCATGGAAAACTTGCGCACAATACGATCCATCCAGGTCCGGATGATGAACTTTTTGTCTCTTGCAATGTATGATCACTTCCCTGCCTGACCATGGAAAACTTGCGCACCCTCTTTATAGGCTTACTGAGAGAAGTGGCAGGTAGAGATCGGAAGGGAAAGGAAATAAAGAAGAAAGAAGAGGAAAGGGGAGAGGAAAAAAGAGAGAAAAAAAAGAGACGAGAAATGAAGGGGGAGGAAGAAGGGTAAAAAAAAACTTGTGAGACTACCTGGACATAATTGCAGTAAGATTCATCCTACCTGACAAAACGAGTTTGCGACACAAGGGTTTCCTTCCAGTGATTTCTTGGACGGAGCAGCTCCGCTGACAAGCCCGTGGGAGGCCATTGCCAAAGCCATTTTGTCGGCAGAACTGCTCGAGGTGGAGAGGGGACGACCCTCCTGCGACGTGATAATCACTGTATCTAGACTCAAAGTTGCCCCAAATACAGCTATAATCACGGGGCATTCTATTCGGACTGCCTGGACATTCTGCGTTGCTAGTCGCGCCTTGGTGTGTGCCCGCCTGGCCATGCTTCAAGTCCAGAAGCCTCCGACTCTGAATTTCCTAGCCATATACTTTTGCGCTTGAGAACCTCTTCTTGTGTAAAAATGAAATCTTCGCCCGAATCATAAAAAAGTGGAAAAAAAAAACACATTTGAGTCTCCTGCGACATGATAAGCTCGAGCTGGGCTCAGGCATGCGGGGACTCGTATATGCTTTTTGTACTTTTTGACTATTTTGTTATTTGGGCGAATATTTCATTTTTACACAAGAGGTGGTTCTCAAGCCCAAATGGACACTCAGGAAAAGGATATGGCTAGGAAATTCAGAGTCGGAGGCTTCTGGACTTGCTGAAGCATGGCCAGGTGGGCACACACGAAGGCGACTACCTTCTTCACCCGAATAGAACGCCGCCCGGTCATTATAAATGTGCATTTGGCACAACTTTCAGCCCAGATACGGCGACAATTACCGGCCATTCTATTTGGGTGAAGACGGTAGCAGCACAAAACGGCAAGGCAGCTACCTTCTTCACCCGAATAGAACGCCCCGTGATTATAGCTGTATTCGGCGCAACTTTGAGTCTACATACAGTGATAATGAACGGGTGTGTTCTATTCGGGTGAAAAGATGACATGAGCACGAAACGGCAAGACAGTAGCAGCATGGTGAAGCAGAAATGAGGCAGGCGACAGCACACGCAACAACACCATGCAGCCATAGGGCCTTGCCGCACTACTCTCCAAATGCACAACACAAGAATGAATCTTCCGCTAGAACATGGAAAGATACACCGCCATATTTTTTGTCTTTTGTGCATGTGGAGAGTAGTGCAGCGAGGCCCGTACTCTACAACACATAGAGCAGGAACCAGATCACACCAAGGGCCGCAGCACACGCAACAACAGGCAGCACGATGCCGTGCAGCAATTACACTACGCATATAGCAATCACACCAAGGAGCAGACTATCACACCATATTGACAATTTTGCACACTGTACATTCACAGGACCCTCTTTTGTTTTGTTTCTTTTTGCCTCACAAGACGATTTGTATGCCACTACCCCCGTCTTTCACCTGGAAGGCCCACCCGATGGCAACTTCAACACCCCGTTGTTAAACCCGGGTGAGAGAGAGAGAGAGAGAGAGAGAGAGAGAGAGAGAGAGAGAGAGAGAGAGAGAGAGAGAGAGAGAGAGAGAGAATCCTGTTTTGTGCTGATCACAATCAATCGTCCAGCAGTCCATTCGAACAAACTTGCGATTGTTCCACTTCACTACTTCGGGAAATTGCTTTGCTGTCGTCAAGCTATGCCAAGATGAGTTCATTCCACAAGGTGCGAATTTGTGTGCAGCTCATGCCAAGATGTGCGTGCGCTTAGCGCACATTTCTCAAAAACATTCCCAAGGTTTCAGGGCACACGAGGAAACTGGCAAACAGTGAACACAGTGAAATGCAAATGAGAAGACGCCGTGAGCTATACAGCAATCACTATGTTAAAACTTTTGACGATACATGCCCTCCTCCTTCCCCCCTCCACTACATACACAACATCCACTCCCCGAAACTCAACGTCCTCATGAAGACAGCAACTACAAAAAGACTACGATACACAAAAATTATCCCTGCCCAATACAAGTTATACAACAACACCCATCATGGCAACGACAAAGAAGAAGACGAAGAACAGGTACGATGACAACGAAGAAGAAAAAAGAAGAAGATCTGAAGAAGAAGAAGAAGAAGAAGAAGATCTGAAGAAGAAGAAGAAGAAGAAGAAGAAGAAGAAGAAGAAGAAGAAGAAGAAGATCTGAAGAAGAAGAAGAAGAAGAAGAAGAAGAAGAAGAAGAAGAAGAAGAAGAAGAAGACGGCGAAGAAGAAGAACAAAAACCTCACCCTCCTTCAACCTCACCCTCCTTTTCCACAGCTATTTTTTGCACAACTCCCTGCTCTCTCCTGTTCTACCGCCACCTACCACCCTCCCACCCTCCCCCCCACCTTCACGCCTCTATCCTACCTAGGAATAGGCAGACTGCCAAACTTCATCAAATGGTACATGTTGAAAAATGGTTCCACCTCCTGAATTAACTGCCCATCAAGATAGCTTGAGCAAAGATGGCACCAGCAGGACAGATCCCTAAATCCTAAAACAACGGGGTGCCCACACTCTTCCTGGTGCTCTAACATGTGCATGTTGACGTAGCGGCCGCAATACACTTTCTTGCAAGTCAGGCAAACCCAATTCTCACTCTGGTCCCCACATTTCTCGCACACGGCGTCGAATCTAGGCAGCTCGATCGCCGCTTCACAGACCGACCAAGCATGCGGGCACGACGTGCGCGCTTCTACCCATCCCGACTCCTGGCCGTCCATTTCCGCTTGCAGCGCTCTCGCGAGCGCTGCATCTTCGTGACTTTGCCGCAACGCCTCAAACGCACCTGGAACGCCCGCCGTCATGTCATTCTCGTCCGGTTCATCTAGAGCCACAGCCTTTCCCTTTCGATTCTCTTCCATCCTTGGCCAAGGCGCACCGCCCTGGCTACGCTAGTCAGCCATATCCTCAAGGCACCGCATGCACAGCAGCCTTTCAGATTCCAAACCGAAACAAATGGGGTACTAAACCCTAATGGGAAAAGGAAATCAAAGCCCAGAAATAAACAAAGGGTTACCGATAGCGAATGGGAAACAGAAATAAAAGTCAAACCATTCCCCCGAATGAACACTAAAGTGACGAAACGTCTTAAAGTTCACTGAAAATGACCTCGATATAGAAACAGCTCTATGTCACTGGGCACTACACAACATGGGAGGGTTATTGTTTCTCTCATTCATCGCTTTGTCAACCTGCATTCATGTCATCAGAGTCGCACGTACACACACACACACACACACACACACACACACACACACACACACAGAACACACACACACACCCACACCCACACACACACACACACATCATGGGCAGACAAAGATATACAATCACAAAAAGAGAGGCACAACGGAGGAAAGAGGAGATACACACACAGAGGCAAAACAAAAACAAAAACATAAAGAGAGAGAGAGAGAGAGAGAGAGAGAGAGAGAGAGAGAGAGAGAGAGAGAGAGAGAGANAGAGAGAGAGAGAGAGAGAGAGAGAGAGAGAGAGAGAGAGAGAGAGAGAGAGAGAGAGAGCAGAAAAGTGATATTCCAAATAGAATCAGTAAAGAAATTTCTAATAATTTTGAGAATTTTTGACATGATGTGCTAAGAAAAAGCCATTCCATTTTTAACTCTATCTATTAGGGTTAACAGGACCAGTTTTTTCATTTTGTCGTTTTTTTTAAGCATAATTCTAATTAATAGTAAAGTCGTTCCATTCATTTGAGCATATTACAAGTCCGCCACTCCGTGCATCGCGTAGAAACAGTTACAACACCCCTATATCCAATTTGCCCTCTGTGAAGGGTTAGGTGGCACGGTGGCAGGCACATGTCAACAAATCAAGCCACACAACTTAACCCCATCCAGACCCCAAACAGATGGGGAAATCACATTCACCCCTATCAATAATTAATGGTCCACAACAGCAGCAGCGACCATGAACAGTCCCCCATCAGAAATCCACTCAAAAAAGTACACTCAAATACAATGAGTGGTAATAGAAAGAGCCAAGGAATCAATGTATCAGATGCATAAAAAATAATAATAAATGATGTCTATTTCAACCTTTTGACTTTAGTTATCTGTCGACAATAGATCAACTATTCAGGAATCGACGTAGCAGATGCATAAAAAATAATAATAAATGATATCTATTTCAATAGCCCAGAGACGAGAGCAGCAATCCTTTTTCAAACAGTACCATCCTTGGGAACAGTGGCACTAGAATGGGACTCCAGTGGAACTACAGTGTCACCCAATACACTAGGAATCCAGTGGGACTCTGGCGGGGCTCCAGTTCTAGTGTCCCCCAGAACAGTGGGACTCCAATGTTCCCCCACTGTTCCATAGGATGGTCTCCTTGGGAACAGTGGCACTAGAGTGGGACTCCAGTGGAACTGCAGAGTCACTCAAAACACTAGGAATACAGTGGGACTCTGGTGGGACTCCAGTTCTAGTGTCCTCTGGAACAGTGGGACTGCAATGTTCTCTCACTGTTCCATAGGATGGTCTCCTTGGGAACAGTGGCACTGGAGTGGGACTCCAGTGGAAGTACAGCGTCTGTCTCTTATACACATCTAGATGTGTATAAGAGACAGCAGTGGCACTGGAGTGGGACTCCAGTGGAAGTACAGCGTCACTCAAAACACTAGGAATCCAGTGGGACTCTGGTGGGACTCCAGTTCTAGTGTCCTCCGGAACAATGGGACTCCAATGTTCTCTCACTCTTCCATAGGATGGTCTGCTTGGGACTCGAGCTTTCGAAACTGTGTCATCAACTTAGAAGGCTAAAACCCTAAACCCTAAACTCCACCCCCATCAGGACACAGTTCTTTGGAATAATGTCCATGAGGAGCAGAAACTCGTCACAGGTGAGGAATTGGGGTTATTTATTGGCGTTATTTATTGGGGTTTGGAAGGCGAAGAGGGGGGGCACGGGGAAAGAGGTCGAGAGAGCGGGGGAGGGAGAAGGGGGGGCGGGGGGCGGGGGAGGAATGTCAATTACAAGAGTTAAAACGTTGGGAGGGGTTAGGGGTGAGAGCATCGGCTTTATTAGGCTGCTTGAGAGGGTTTAGGAGATCGAGGTCTTTTAAAAGTTTCTTTTTTCTTTTTTCTTTTTTCCCTTTCTTTCTTTTAAAAGGGCGACGGCCTTGGGATATCATCATTGAATGACCGGCCCCAGGTAATTCAGAAGTATCTTATTTGGTGCATATGATTGCACGTGGATACGAACTTGGGTCTGTATTTCAAACCGTCCGTGGGTGACAAAAGGACCCGACACAGTGAGTAGGGTTGAACGGCTTCAGCACCGACTGCTTAAGAATGGCTCATTCAAATTACGGTTTCTGGATTACCACGTGGGTTGGCTCAAGCAGGGGTTTAGGGTATTAGGGTTACGAGGCTCGCCAGCTGGATACGGGGGTTAGGGGTGTCTTTACAGGGGTTAGGGGTGTCTGTACATGGGGATTAGGGGTGTCTTTGCATGGGGGGTACGGGTGTTTTAGCTGAAAGCATCCTACAGTACCCAATCCAGTGACCTTCATTCGATCCTAGATGTCTGATCCTGTCCAAATAAGGTCAAGTTGTTTCCAAGTAGGAGAGGAGTTAACGTCGGTAGAGCTATCAGGGTTATCGGGTTTTAACTCTCAACTATGGTAGAGCTATCGGGGTTCAACTTCGGTAGAGAACCATAGGGGTTTTGACTTCCCTATAGCTGTTGGTGTTTTACCTTCCGTAGAGCTATTGGGGTTTAACATCGGTAGAGCTACCAGGGTTTATAAGGGTTTAACTACGGTAGAGATATCGGGGTTCTATCGGGGTTTTAAGTTCCCTAGACCTGTTGGCGTTTTAACTTCCGTAGAGCTATCGGGGTTTAACCCGGGTTTGTCAGGGTTTGTCAGGGTTTAACTATGGTAGAGCTATCGGGGTTCAACTTTGGTAGAGCCATAGGGGTTTTAACTTCCGTAGAGCTATCGGGGTTTAACCATGGTGGAACTACCGGGGTTTATCTTTGGCAGAGCGGTCAGGGTTTAACGTTGGTAGAGCTATCATGGTCTTAACTTTTTCCCCGTAGAATATTGGGATTTAACTGCGGTAACTCTGGTACAGCTATCAGGAGTTACCTTCAGTCAATCCTCTGCCCAGATAAGAAGGAAAGACCAGACTACCCATTCAAGTCACGCGATAGCCAGAGCAAGTAAGTTGTCAGCAATAACCCCATCGAGTCAGAAGGCCCGCTCACGACTGGTCCCATCCACCCAAGCACCTACCCAAATGTCCCACTGTCGTAAGTGGGCCTTCATAGTCCTAAGGTGGGAAATGGTAGCACCAGTCTCTCTCTCTCTCTCTCTCTCTCTCTCTCTCTCTCTCTCTCTCTCTCTCTCTCTCTCTCTCTCTCTCTCTCTCTCTCTCTCTCTCGTGCTAGCTTTTGTGAGTGGCGCATCTCGCAGCACGCTACTCACAAAAGCGCCTGTCTCAGCTGCGGGGCAAAAGCCCTCTCCAGCACCATTCCTGTGCTGGGGCACCTCAAGTATGAAGGACCCTGCAGCTAATCGACAAGCCATCTCCTGCACCGCTTGTCCTCTTCCTTTTCCCCTTTTTTTTTCTCACTTGCATCCTAAAGCTCCCCCACTTATGCTACCTTCATCAGTCAAGTCATTTCATAGCGTGGAAGGATGTCCTTTTTTTTTTCTTTTTTTTTTCCAGATTCCTTATTCTCTTTCTCTTTGCAAGCGAACATTTTTTCCAACGACCTACTTTCTTCCACCATTCACATCAGCAGAAAAAACCACAAAAACGTTTTTTTTTGTGGTGGTGGTGGTGGGGGGGGGGTTGGGGGGCCGGAAGAAAAAGATGATTGGGTAAAGAAAGAATGATTGACGTGGCCACATCTGGAACCAGAGACTCGACAGTCGATCCCCTCCCGAAGCTTTTTTCTCCTTTGTGTTTTTCCTTTCCCCCTTCGTTTCCCCTAAATGACAGGGGGTAGAAAAGGAATTATTGTATGCGTCTGATTTCACCAGGGTTCGAACCCATGCACTGTTCACTAACAGTTCCATTTTTTGTGAATTTAATATTTATTCCATTCAGGCACATGGGGCAGGGCAGGTTGCAAGCTCCTTTCTGCCTTTCCCGCCATATTTGGTGGCATTCCTTCCTATCTATTCCTTTGCCACCATTTCCCACCATACTAAAATCCTTAGCGTGCCTTTTTCCTGTGGCCTCGGCCCACATGCAGCCATGTAGTATAGTTTTCTGCTACCTGTGTGACTGTGGGATCACTGCGAACCGTTGATCATCTGACAAATGGACGGTAGGATTACACAACCCGCCCTTTTGGAAGGGGAGCCAGCAGCCTACTGTTTTGTGATTGGTTGGGGTGTCATGTTGGGGTCACGTTGGCGATGGCAGGAGAGGCACGGGCGTTGTAGTTTTCTATGAGTTTTTTTCAGATCGTAAACTACACGGGGATTTTCCTCTTCAGTGAATGCAGGGGGAAGGTAAGGCAAGGTTTGGTTTGCCAGAGACATGCTTAGGGCCCCAAGGATCTAGTCTGTCCAATAGGAGGAATAGGATGTGGCACACCCATGCACTGTTGAAAGGAAGACCTGAGTTCGATTCCTAATGGCACTAGATGAATGAAATCAAATAAGAAGATTATTCAACCTTCGTTTCCCGCCTTTTGGCGTCACACAGTTGTAGAAGGTGCCCCCGAGTGGCATTGAGCAGAGACTGCTGGTGTTCATAGGGGGAGGGGACCGGAGGGGAGGCACAGTGGCTGACCCATCGAAGAAGCCCGGTCCTGATGCTACCGGCTGACCCCTGGCCGGTATCGCCCACCTGCTGTAGCAGGTATCGCACCTGCTGGTGGGTGCAGCTCCCGCATGTTCCCTCGTTAGAGGCTTGAGCACGGATGTGGCTGCTACGGGGTTCCCGTAATACTATAATGACAATAAAAAAGGCCTGAAAGGCCGTCCTGTCCAGATTTGACAGGTAATTGAATTGGTTGGGCTTAAAAAGAATTAGCCTTTAAAAAAAAAAAAAAAAAAACTGAAAGGCCGTCCTGTCCAGATTTGACAGGTAATTGAATTGGTTGGGCTTAAAAAGAATTAGCCTTTAAAAAAAAAAAAAAAAAAACTAAACTACAGGGCGCATGTGGGCCGAGACCACTGCACTGCCCATTTTCCACGCATAGTTAGCAT